AAAAAAAAAAAAAAAGCGAAAATAAAGAAAACGAATCTGCTGGCAAAAGAGTTTCAATGTCTCAAAATGTATCAGAATTCGGTTTTTTTTTTTCATTTTATTTCAACATCTTTGTTGAGCATTCTGTTTCGAGTACCTTTTTTTCCCCCCGTTCTTTTTCTGCTATACAATTTGTTCAATTGTTACGCCGCCTGAAGTTGAAAAAGTATGTCGACATTTGATTGAATTCACCATTTTGCAAATGAAATTTCTTCAGTTTTTTTCCCCTTTTTTTACTCCCTCTTTTACTGCTGCTGTTGTTGTTGCAGCTGTCGCCGTCGTCACCACCGTCGTCGCCATCACCGTCATCGTCATCACCGTCAGCAGCAGCAGTCAGTGCTGTTGAAGTTGCTGAGGCGGTTGAGGGAAGAAAGGAGAAAGTAAAAGTGTTCAAATAAAACAGCAACAAATAACATTTTGCCATTTTCGTCATCAATTTTTTTTAGTTTTCTTTTTTTTTTTTTGCTTCGATTTTAATTTTCTGTCATATAAAAATTGCAGAAGAGGAAAAGGAAGCTGTATGCTTCGCAATTTTTTTTTCTTTGTTTGTATTGAAAAATTTTTAAATAACTTCTCACGCAACAAATTGTTTTACCTGAACTTATTTTTTTTTTATTTTTCATTATTTTTTTCTTATATTATCAATGGTTTTATTCTCTTTTTTTTTTCTGTTGTTTGAGTAGCAAAAAAGGAGAGAAAAAAAAACGGAACTGAATAGAATGACAGATAATAACTAGGAAAAGATTAGTGTTTGTTGGCGAAATTCTGGTCGGTTGGCTTGACAATGTTTGGTGGTGGTCGTAATGCTGCTGCTGTTGGTAGCGATGATGATGATGATGATGATGATGATGATGATGATGATGAGAATCATGACGATGATAATGATGATGGATTTATTGGTACATGTGGAAAAATGATGGCTTTTTTTTTTTTCGCTAATTTTTTTATTGCCAAATCACTGTTGTCATTTAAACTTTTCATTTTTTTTTTCCTTTACTGTGATTTTTCTTTTGAAATTCATAAATATTAAAGATACGTTAGAGTGCTGTTACATTTGTGCTGTTTGTTGCAGCATTAAATTCTGATAAAAAATTTTGTGCTGCAATTGAGTTTCAAAGTTTAGCATCAATTATTTGTACACTGTTTTCATCTGTGCTAATATTATCATTGTTGCTGTTGATACTGTTTCTGTTTTTTTTTTATACTAATAAGTGGGGTTTTTGGGAAAAAAAAAAGAAAGGGAAAAACGATTGAACAGATCACTTATTGACTGATCAAATTGTCAAGAAGTAACGACAAGGAAAGAAATTGGCAATTTGGAAGAGGCTTCTAATGGTTAGTTCATTTTTTTTTTCACTTGTTCTTCACATTTTATGTTCTAATATTTGCCAGTTTTATAAACTGTAAAGAAAAAAATTAATGGTAGCAAACAAGGATTTTTTTTCTATTATTTTGATAAACGTTTATTTTTTTCCGTCTGATGATTTCATAAAAGATGGGGTGGTGGTTGAAACAAAAAAAAAAAAAAAAAGAAAAAACCAGTAAAAAGTGGTTTTAGACACTAAAAATACAGTTTGATGAAATAATGTTGGCGCTGATGAATCGATACATTTGAACGGAAAAAAAGGGTTGAACAGCATAAATAATTAACGTCTGAACAGTTTTGAGGGATGAGTTTTTCTTTTTTGTCTTTGAAATTGAGTATTGCAGTGTTTGTACAGTTTAATGACTGATCAGTCGGTTCAATATTTTTTCATCTTATTTTTTATTTTTTTCGTTTTTGTTCGGACCTTTTCCGAAGCCATCGTT